CTCTCTTCTACAGCTGCCCGGCCTCGTTTCGCAGTTTCCCTAAGTCAGGATTTAGGGTTTTGGGTTTGGGGTTTGCGGGTTTAGGGACTGGGTTAGGGTTTAGGGCCCAGGGTTGAGGCCCCCCTTTCAGTCATACTTGCTATGAAACTGTGTTTCGGCAACCCCATGACGAACCATCATTTCGGACGATTCCTGTTTTCGTGGAGGAAGTTCGGGCAGTGGCGGAAACCCTAAGCCCTAAACCCTAAACTCTAACCCCATGCAGTACGTTGCTCAATAAGTTGATGGGGGTCAGGATGCTTCGGATGTTTTGGGCATCGGAGTTTGGAGAAATAGCAGAGTTCAGGGTTAAAGGCTTGGGGTTTCGGGTTTAGGGTCTGGGTCTAGGGTTTAGGGTTTAGGGTTTAGGCTTTGGAAGTTTAGGGTTTTGGGGTTCAGGGTTTAGAGGTTTAGGGTCACCCAAACCCGAACAGTGCAAAAGGAGTCCACTCGGCCACTCGGCTATCAATACCAAAACATCACGGCAAGAAACTGGCAAGAAGAACAAGGAATTTCCGTAAACCCCATTACCAAACCCTAAACCCTAAACCCTTATCTCTTAAACCCTTGCATCGGGTTTTACCCTAATCCCCTGAACCATTGAATCTCGAATCTCCGAATCACCAGAACATGCCCTAACCCGCACGTGTACGCAGGATGGGTGTGTATGGGTTTAGTGCTTAGGGGTTTGGGGTGTTTCGGGTTTCGGGTGTAGGGGTTGTGTTTTGGGTTAAGGACTACGGTGTTGCTAGGCTAAAGGGTTCTCGTCCCCGCGAGCCTTCTGGATTCCCGCAGGGCACCGGTTTCGACAGTCAACAGGGTGACGCCATCTATTCTTCCCTGATGCAATATCCTACAGGATGGGGGTGACATTGGGTTTCGGGTTTAGGATTTTTGTAAATTTAGGAGGCTGACATACTGTGTGTCACGTGTTGAGTAAGCAAGCACCCGAAGCCGTAGGATGACATCGCTATAGACCAGGGCATTGATCGCTTGCATGATTTTCTTAAAGAAGCTTCTCATCCCCGAAACCCTAAACCCTAACCCCTAAACCCCCCAAAGTAGCGGTGCCCTGTCTTCAAGTGCCCTTGTTCCCAGGCATCTTTATCGTCAAATTTGATATTGGCATACGTAAGTTGCTGTCAGTAGTGCCGTGCCTACTGCGGGAGCTATGCCTACGGACTCTTCGAACGACGAGGGTGTGGAGTTGGCCTCGAGGCACACTGCGGCGCAAGCTGCACAGACATTGCTGGAGGCTGCAAGCGACGAGCTCCCAGCGCCAACGGCACGTCGGAGGACCACCCTTGCAGGTTTGAGGCGGGACTTAAGCAATCTGGAAGCAGAGCAACCAATGTGGCGACGCCAAGCGACCTGGACTTTGTTGCTTTACACTGTTGCCCGAATTGTTGCCAGCTTTGCCGTGCCTACGTTCCTCGACTTTTACGAAGTGGTTGTTGTGGTACGCTACTTTTCGGTATACGATGACTTCCAAGTCGCCTGCGATGCGATTCTGAGACCCTTGGTAACAGGCCTTGGACTATACGTGTTTGTCCACAGGATGGATCGTTTCTCTGTCAAAAACAAGCTTCATGTCTGGAGTTTGCTCACAATCTCCTGCCTCGCGCTACCCATGTGTGATGAGAGCATTGAGCAGTTGCTGCGGAACAGGGGATACTTTTTCCTTCCAAACTTTTGCATGGTTGTGTGGCAGGTCTTGTGCAACGTCCTACAGGTGTACATGACATCCCTCAAATTGCGAGCCCTCGGTTGGCCACGGATAGCCAGGCGCAGTAATGCGCTGGCGGCGCTTGGTGTGGGATCGCTCATCATCTTTTTGCTCCTCTTTTGGCTGGATAAGCCGGTGCTGACCTCAGTGATTCAAAACTGGATTGGCGCACTACTTGGAAGCAGCTTTTTGGCTTGCCTTGGCTGCAGCTTTATCGTTTTGAGCTTTCAGTGCTATGCGTTATGTCGTGCGGCGGGCAGAGCTATGACAGCGGCAGCAGGGAACGATGCCATCAAGTGGACGGCACGCCTCCTCTATGCAAATTGCTGCCTAGTGCTTCTAGGCCCTTTCTTGAGCTTCAGCAGCCTGTACGCCTATTCAATATACCGTGGGGAGCTACCAAGGATACTGGTGACCCTTGACGTCTCGTTCCAGGTCTGCAATGTGGTCTTTCTCAGTGGCATGGTGGGAACGATGCCTATGAATCTAGAGGCTTTCCAGAGACTTGCAGAGTTGTCAGGATTTGGTTTGGCTTCCGCACGTGTGGCGTTTCCGGGGCACATCAGCCACAGTGCCCGGGACTGCATCGTCTCCTTCCCGGGAAAGTACAGCGAGTCTTGGGACAAGGCAGTTTCCAGCGTAACTCAGAATGACATGTTTTCACTCGCCTGCGTTTTCTTAACGGACGCCGCCTCTGGTCTTGGTCAGCACGCTTACAACTCGGACACTCCAGGCCAATGTTGGTGCCATCAAATCTATGGCCAGGTGCCTGCAACCACGTACCTCAGCATGGTAGAAATGGGTAGTGAGGATCAGCAGCACAGCCAGCAGACCCTCGCTTTCAAAAAGGCGGATGCAGACGCCATGGGCCAAAGACTACTCGTCAGAGAGGACCAGGGAGACCTGGAATGTGTGCAAGAGTGCGCAGAAGCCTTGCTAGATGCCGAGGCCCGCTGCGCTAGGAACCAGTACCGTGCACCTTGGGGATGTCAGTGGTTTGAAGCGTGGAAGAAGAATGTTGACAGAGCCAGGGAACAGGGGCAAGTGCTTCATGTCTTTTATTTCAAGGACAGCAAAGGCAAAGGCAAGATGTCTTGGGAGCAGCTTTGCGACGAGCAGGCCAAGCAGGAGGCTCGAAAGGACAGCGGCTTGGGCGTGTCCCAGACAGCGGAGGTGGCCTATCTCGACAAGATGGGACTGCGCTACGAGGAGCATGGCATCGAGGAGTTCGAAGCGTTCCTCAGGTCATGTACCGACCAACTCTGCCGTCGTTCCACATAGATGGTTTTGTGATACGCATGGTCGTGAATATGCAGTATGCATCATGAAGTCGGTGCCAAAAAAGCTGCAGCAGCCATGACTCTTGTGCAGATAGTAGAAGCCTAGCACGGGCCGAGGCTTGAAGTAACAATTACCCCCGATACCCTAAACCCGCGCACGACTAAGTTTTAGCGCTTGGGGTGTAGGGTTTGGGGGTTCAGGGACGGGTTTAGGGTTTAGGATTTAGGGTGCAGCGTTGAGGGTCTCTTTTTCATACTTGCCATATGTGAAATAGTGTTTCGGCAACCTCATAAAGGACCATGATTTAGGTCGATTCCTGTGTTCGTGGAGGAGTTCGGGCAGGGGCTTCCATGATAAACCCGAAACCCTGAACCCTAAACCCATGCCGCACATTAAACCCTAAACCCTAAACCACAATAAGTTGATAGGGGTCAGGATGATTCGGAGCTGTTTGGGCATCGGAGCTTCGAGGGGGAGAAGGGTTCAGGATTACTGGCTTGGGGCTTCGGTTTTTGGGGGTTAGGGCTATGGCTACGGTGCTGAGCATGGGGTTCAACAAGCTGTGAACTAAGTTGAGTCACCATGTGACAGCAACACGGGAAGTTCCCCAAAGCCAAACCCTTCCAAAAAGATGTAAACAGCAAAAAAACACAAAAGGACACAACCTCGAGACCGATACGGCAAATCCTTCCCGATGGGCGTGACATGCTGTGTGTCATGTGTTGAGTAAGTAGCGCCGAAGCTCAAGATAGCATCGCTGTAGACCAGAGCTTTGATCGCTTGCATTCTAACCCTAGGCCCTAAACCCTAAACAGGAGTCTGAGCTCTTGCCCTTTCTGCGCCGTATATAGTGTCCTGTATCTACTTACCGTTGTTTGGGGTTTAGGGATTATAAGGTATTGGGGTTTGGGGTAATAGAGAGGGTTTATGGGGTATAGGGTTTGTAGGGTTTAGCATTTAGAAGGGGGCTCTATGGGGTTTGGGGTTTTCAGAGTTTAGGCTTTGGAAGGGGGCTTTATGGGGTTGGGGGTTTACAGGGTTTAGGGTTGAAAGGGTTTAGGTTTCACCAGTAGCTCTACTGTGATTGTTGATATTGGTAAGTTGCTATCGGGAGCCATGTCTCTGGAGACTTCGAACAACGAGGGTGTGGAGCTAGCCTCAAGGCACATGGCAGGGCAAGCTGCGCAGACGTTGCTCCAGGCTGCAAGTGATGAGCTCCCAGCGCCACGCGCACGTAGAAGGAGCACTCTTGCAGGTTTGAGGCAGGACTTGCACAGTCTGGAAGCAGAGCAACCAATGTGGCGACGCCAAGCAACGTGGACCTTGTGGCTTTACACTGTTGCGCGAATTGTTGCCAACTTTGCCATGCCTTCGTTTGTCCACTTTGACGTTGCCGTAATTGCTGATAGGGCATATGAAGGTGAATACTTTTCGGTATACGATGATGTCCAAGTCGCCTGCGATGCAATTCTGAGACCCTTGGTAACAGGCCTTGGGCTATATGTGTTTGTCCACAGGATGGATCGTCTCTCTGGCAAAAACAAGCTGCACGTTTGGAGTTTGCTCACAATCTGCTGCCTCGCTCTACCCACGTGTGACGAGAGCATTGAGCAACCGCTGCGGAGCAGGGGATACTATTACCTTCCAAACTTTTGCATGGCTGTGTGGCAGGTCTTGTGCAACGTCCTACAGGTGTACATGACATCCCTCAAGCTGCAAGCCCTCGGTTGGCCCCGGGTAGCCAGGTGCAGCAACGCGTTCGCGGCGCTTGGTGTTGGATCGCTTATTTCCTTTTTGCTCTTCGTTTGGCTGCATGAGGTGGGGCTGTCAGCAGTGCTTCCATTCTGGACTAGCGCACTATGTGTAAGCAGCATGTTTTCTTGCTTTGGCTGCAGCTTTATCGTGTTGAGCTTTCAGTGCTATACGTTATGTCGTGCGGCGGGCAGAGCTATGACACAAGCAGCGGGGAACGATTCCATCAAGTGGACGGCACGCCTCCTCTATGCAAATTCCTGCCTAGTGCTTCTCGGCCCTTTCTTGAGCTTCAGCAGCCTGTACGCCTACTCAATATACGGTGGGGAACTACCAAGGATGCTGGTGACCCTTGACGTCTCGTTCCAGGTCTGCAATGTGGTCTTTCTCAGTGGCATGGTGGGCACGATGCCTATGAATCTGGCGGCTTTCAAGAGACTTGCAGAGTTGTCTGGATTTGGTTTGGCTTCCGCACGTGTGGCATTTCAAGGGCACATCAGCCACAGTGCCCAGGACTGCATCGTATCCTTCCCGGGGAAATACAGCGAGTCTTGGGACAAGGCAGTTTCCAGTGTAACTCAGGAGGACATGTTTTCACTCGCTTGCGTTTTCTTAACGGACGCCGCCTCTGGTCTTGGTCAGCACGCTTACAGCTCGGACACTCCAGGCCAATGTTGGTGCCATGAAATCTATGGCCAGGTGCCCGCAACCACGTACCTCAGCATGGTAGAAATGGGTAGTGAGGATCAGCAGAACAGCCAGCAGACCCTCGCTTTCAAAAAAGCGGATGCAGACGCCATGGGCCAAAGACTCCTCATCAGGGAGGACCAGGGAGACCTGGAATGGGAGCAAGAGTGCGCAGAAGCCTTGCTAGATGCCGAGGCCCGCTGCGCTGAGAACCAGTATCGTGCACCTTGGGGATGTCAGTGGTTTGAAGCGTGGAAGAAGAATGTTGACAGAGCCAGGGAACAGGGGCAAGTGCTTCATGTCTTTTATTTCAAGGACAGCAAGGGCAAAGGCAAGATGTCTTGGGAGCAGCTCTGCGACGAGCAGGCCAAGCGGGAGGCTCGAAAGGACAGCGGCTTGGGCGTGTCCCAGACAGCGGAAGTGGCCTATCTCGACAAGTTTGGACTGAGCTACGAGGAGCATGGCATCGAGGAGTTCGAGGCGTTCCTCAGGTCACATGCCGACCAAGTCTCGCCTCGCTCCGCAAGAACGGCAGTGTGAGTCGCATGGTCGTGAAGACTCAGGACGTCGACCAGCGATCTGCATGCAGTGTGCATCATGCAGTCGGTGCCAAAAAGCTGCAGCAGTCATGAAAACCCTAAGTCCTAAATCCTAAACCCTAAACCCTAAATCCTAAACCCGAAGCCCTAGAGTCATGACTCTTGTGGTTGCCAGGCTTACTTCTGCGAGAGCTAGGCCAGACGGGGGAGCCCGATGTTGAGGGTTGAGGGTTTAGGGTTTCAGGGGCTTGCGGGCTGCGACATTCTCAGCCCTCAACGCTAAAAAGGCCCTGAGCTCTGCAGTTTTTTGGGCCCTAAACCTAAAACCCTAAACCCTAAAGCCTAAACCCCAAACCCATCTCCCATCTGAACCTTAAACATCCCCAAGCCCCAAAAGCTCACAGAGCCCTAAACGGATGCCTCGAAATCTTGCAAAGCCTTAACCCCAAGCCCCTGAACCCTCTCAGGTTGAAGAGAAGCTTTTGGGTTCGGTGTTTAGGGCTTGGGGCTTAGGGTTCCGGGTAATGAGCCATGAGCCCCCCCAAACACGAAATGGACGCCGGAAGAGTGGATTCTGGGCTTTGACACACCTTTGTGTCGCGAGGCGATGACTTCAAAGAGCTTCAAACGCCCCGGCAAATTTAGGCCAGTAGTGTTCTCTTAGGGTCCCTGTATAATTAGGCTATAATATCCCCAAACACCCTGTTCCAATTTTTCAACTCCAAGATTAGGGTGTACAGGGTGCAGCTTCAGTTCCCCAAATCTAGGTTGTTTTGGCGGTTTTTGTGGTGAGAACCTACTGTAGAGGTAAGTGTTGTGTTCTTTAGATGAAGTTACATCAGGAAGACTAAATGCCCTTTTGACGCCAAGAACTTGAGTTCCAAGTTGTGTTCTTTAGATGAAGTTACATCAGGAAGACTAAATGCCCTTTTGACGCCAAGAACTTGAGGTCCAAGGGTTGTTAGGGTTTAGGGCTTGCTTAGAACAACAAGCTTGTCAGAACCATTTTCTGGGTACGTCGAACGCTACTTTAGGGTTTTGGGCTTTGGGTTCGGGTTAGGGGTTTCTATCTGGAGGTTAACGGGTAGAGCCATGGAAACTGTATTTGGTTTTGTTGCTCCGAAGATCTAAAAGCCCTAATCCCCAAGCCCCTTGGCCCTAAACCCTCTACCCACGAACCTGTTCGAGGCGCGGCCGTGCCCGAGCTGGGACTGGCTGACCTGGCTGCTCTCAAGCACCCCGGCGGTAGGAGTTATTGGGTTTTTGGGTTTGGGGTTTAGGATTTAGGGTTTAGGGTTTGCGGTTTAGGGTTTGGGATTTGGGTTTAGGGTTTGGGGTTTGGGTTTTTGGGTTTAGGGTGTGGGAATTTGGGGTTTTGGGTTTTAGGGTGGTTTGCTATGCGAAGGTTCCGAAAATTCGGGGTCCCCTTTGAAAGTGATTTGCTCTACTACTTGGGGGGTATAAGGGGCGCTTCTAAGTCCTGAAAGTTGCTGAGAAGGGCACTAGTTTTGGAATCTCCCGTGTGGAAGAAAATGCAACATGCTTTTAGCAACAACGCCTATATGAAAGACCATTTCGGCCCGACAGCCCCAATCCCTAAACCACTAAAGCAAAAAACGAGACGCCCTGAATCCCACATCGCCCAACAGGCCGAGCCTGGCCAAGGGGCTTCAGGACTAGGGTTGAGGGTTGAGGGTCGAGGGCTTCGGGGATACGAAAGGAGTATCTAGGGTCTGCCGAACGCGGGAGCGTCGCTGGGTGGCTTCGGGTTGGGGATTAAGGGTATCCTTTTTCCCTCCTTATTTTGGTTAAAGGGATCATGTTCCGGAATGTTGTTGAGAGGGTTTTAAGGGCAATCTTCGCAATCGTTGTCGTGTGTTGTGATGAAGACCCGACATAGGCCCACAGATCTGGTCGGTGCCTAAATAATCAGCGGTAAGGTCTGTAGACCTTCAATCCCAAACTTCGGCTTTTTCAACTCTATAACCCCTAAACCCTAAACCCTCAAGCCATCTTAAGCCCTAACCCCTATACCCTAAGGGTGCAGGGGGTAGCGACTTTGGCGCCTAAACCCTGAGTGAGCCGACACTCGCAAATCAGAAGAACTCTCAAGCTACGCATGCCACCTGCCGAAGAGTCGAAGGTGCGCGGCAAGGATAGCATCGCCACTTGCTAGACCCTAATAATATTAGAAATACCTAGAATACGACAAATATATAGTAAGAAGAAGAATAAGAATAAGAGTAAGAATTGGAAATAACCCTAAAGAGCCCTACAAACCTTAAACGCCCTAAACACCCTTGCTTCACGTGTAGTTTGAACTGGCGGTTGAAGGTTGTAGCTGGTGTTAGCGAAATCTCGGGTGCATAGAACCTACTTGTACTTACCCATGTCCTGGTTCTTAGTAGGGAATGGGGGAATTAGGGGGTCTATACATACCCTGTAAGGGATTCATTATATAGGCTTAAAGGATATACATAGGGTACCATATATATATATATACATATATATACCCTATATAAGGGAGTACACAGGGCCCTCATGCCCCCATTCCCTACTAAGAACCCGCCATTTCTACTAGGAGCTCATCGACTACGAGGGCGCCGACGTGGCTGAGGCGTGGATCCAGGGACGGGGAACAATACCCCGAAGGAAAGGAATGGTACCCATAAACCTTAAGCCGTACCTACCCCAAAATATGTAAAAAAAGAACAACGGCTCTTTTACAAGGGACTTTTTTTTACATGCTTTTGGCGTCTAGGTAAACCCTAAACCCTTACACCCTTTAACCATGCTCCTTTGGGAGGTTTGCAGACCCGATGACTAGAGCAGCCGGCATTGAAGATGAACATACACCCATGTTTAAGGCCGTTTCTTCTCAAGAGCATGTAAAGGGTTGTCATCCCTCCCATCCAGCCCCACGAGCCTAGTGGTTAAACCCACTCCTGAAAGCCTACAGCCCAAACCCTAAACCCGAAACCCTAAACCCTAAACCCCAAACCCTAAACCCTCAACCCTAAATCCTGCCCTGATCAAGCCCCCTCTGACATGAAGGTCTTTCCCCTGGACTGGCCACGCAGCCATGAGCTGACCAGCCAGAACCGCGCAGAGTACGCCCTTTGTCCTAAACCCTAAACCCTATACCCTAAACCCGAAGCCCTAAACCCTATTCCCTAAACCCTTTGGGGTCACTTGGGATGGCAGGTTCAGCTTGCAACTTCTGCACAAGTTGCTGGCCTGTGGACACCGGCACCCTACACCCTGAACCCCAAAGCCTGATGTTATTGGGGGTTGGAGTTTAGGATATAGGGTTTAGCCTGATGTTCTTGGGGGTTGGAGTTTAGGATATAGGGTTTATAGGGACCAAATTAGCAACTAGTGTAAGTGAGGGATTGGGTTTAGGGTTCGGCAGAACTCGCCCGGAGCAAGCAATCGAAAGCGGCCACTAGAGCGAACATGCGAAGTTCCGTTTCCAAAGTTGGGGCCCCAAACCCTGCACTGTTGAACCCCTAAAGGCTGTTGAAGGGACCCATTCCAGTGAGGAGGTGTTCCACATTCCCTGCGATACCCCCCCCCCCCCCCCCCCCCCCCCCAACAAGGTAATTTGACATTCTTGGGGGCCTCGTTTACCTTTTGAGGGTTTGCTGGAGTATGGGGGTTTCGTAGGTCCCAGGTTAACACAGGGTTCATAAGTTTTGGAGGTCATACAGAGTTCATTCGTTTAAAGACTCGCAGGGCTTGAGGAGGTTTGGGTTGACTGTGAGCCCAGGTCAAAGACTACGTACAGTGGTTCATGCAGGAGCGCTTCCAAGCGTGGCCAAGCAGCACGAGGAAGAAGTGTTTTTGCTGTTTCTGTAGGTTCTGGATTGCGCCCTGAACCCCAAACCCTAAACTCTCAACCCGAAAAGCCCTCTGAACCCTACACCCTCAATCATAATTCAAGTTTGGGGTTTAGGGTTTAGGGTTTAGGGTTTAGGGTTTAGACTGACGACCCGGCCTCGAGATGTAGTTGGAGGCTTGGGGTTTAGGGTTTAGGGTTTAAGGTTTAGGCTTTAGGGTTGAAGAGATCGCAAGGCCCAGTCCGCACACACGCTTTTATCAAATACGCCAATCCTGGCCCCCTAAACCCTAAACCCTAAACCCTAAACCCTAAACCCTAAACCCTAAACCCTAAACCCTAAACCCTAAACCCTAAACCCTAAACCCTAAACCTGTTATTCCCCATATGGGTGGTTGTCTTCATTGGCGTCCCATTTTGGGGTCCTTCGGTGCCTGATAAGATAGGGGACCCGAAAAGGGACCCCAATAGAGAACTACCCTGACTCTCTTCGCAGTATAGAATAAGCAGTCTAACTCATTGGGGCCCTATGTGCAGGCTTCCGTGTGCTTTTCATGCACCCCCCCAAAAGCCCTAAATTCTAAACCCGCAGCACTAAACCCTGAACCCTAACCTTCAGACCTGAACTCTGCCCTACCCCAAATTCTAAAGCTTAAGCCCTGAACCCTCCATTCCACAAGGGCAGGGGGTCCCTTAACCCTAAACCCTAAACCCCTAAGCCCCAAACCCTAAACCCTAAACCCCAAACCCTAAACCCTAAGCCCTAAACCCTAAACCCTAAACCCTGATCGGTCTCAGGCAGATGACGCCCCTCGCCAAAGCATTCTGCGGCGTCCTTGGCCGAAGCCACTTCCTGAAGGTGGGTGAAGGGGTGAAGGGGTGGGGTTTAGGGTTTAGGGTTTAGGGTTTAGGGTTCAGGGTTTAGGGTTCAGGGTTTAGGGCTTAGGGCTGAAGGTTTAGGATTTCGGGTTTAGGGCCTAAAATTGGGCCCGAGTTGCTAAAGGGCTCAGGGCTCAGCGTTTACGATCTTAGGGGCTTGGGGCTCGGCATTTTTTTTGCGATTCGCTGCAGGGACCTCGGCTTTTCCTCCGTAAGAAACTCTGTCAGAAACCCTAAACCCTAAACCCTAACCCTAAGAAACTCCAAGAACCTGAACCTCGCAGAAACCGTTGCCACCATCCTACACACGAGATCTTAAGACTTAAAGCTTGAACAAGCGAAGACCCTTGCATACTCGAAGCACGTAAAGCCCTAATTACACCCTAAGCCCTGAGCACTTCACCCTCAAGGTCTTCAACTCCCACCCTACATGCCTTGCATGTCTTGAAGCCCCAAGCGCTTCAGCCCTACTAAGCCAAAACGTGGGTGGGTTTAGGGTTTAACCCTAAACCCTAAGCCCTTAACCCTAAAAGGGGCGGGCAGCTAGCATTAGGGTCGTAGTGGGCCCCATGCGATGGGGAGTTCATGGGTGCTTAACAGGGGCAGAAGGGGGGGGGGGGGTGATCACAGGAAGGGGATCCGAACTGAATTCCTAAAGGGGCTCCAAAGTAAGGTTTTGGGGCTTAGGGTTTGGGGTTTAGGGTTTAGGGTCCCAAGGGGACCCAAACCCTAAGTCCGAAACCTAAGGGGTCAGATTTAGCAAACGCTCCCGCCAGACGCAAGTCTCCGCCACCCAGCTGGACGGGCATTCTGGGATTTGTAGGGCTTGGGGTTTAAGGTTTGGGAGTTATAGGGTTCAGGGTTTAGGGTTTAGAGTTTATAGAGCGTAGAGTTTAGGGTTTAGGGTTTAGGATCAGCGAGTAAAGGCATCCCGACATGGAATCTATGGGATTTTTGTTTTTGTTGCATTGTCTCCGTTGCTCGAACCCCCGAACTTGTCACGTTGTGAGATGCAGGACCCCTAAACCCTAAACCCTAACCCTCTGACCAGGGGTTAGGGCTTTGGGGCGTTTAGGGCTTAGGGCTTAGGGCTTAGCCTGCTCCGCAGCATGTCAGGCATCAGGGTTGTTTAGGTGGGGTCCAGCAAAAGCGCAGGAAGAACAGCGTAGAATAGCTCACCCATCGCAAGCTCGGAGCTGCTCATGCTAAGCCAGACACCGAAGCTTCCGCCCCTAAACCTCTCGATTTTGCTGGCTTTGTTGGGGGGAGGGGGAGGGAGAGGGGGGTTTGGGTTTTCGGATCAGGCCCTTAGCATTCGCTTCTGTCAAAACCTGGGTTTCGTCTTTAGGGTCTGACCCTAAACCCTCAACCCTCAACCCTCAGCCCTCAACCCTAAACGTGAACCCTCAACCATCACCCCCCAACCCCAAACCCCACTAAACCCTGCACACCCTAAAAGCCCCCAAAGCCGGAGGAGCACATCCTGTGCGGCTTCGAGGAGCCGATGGATGCCGCGGACTTAGGATGGCAGTGTCTTTTTGGGGTGGGGGGGGGGGGTTTTAGGGTTTGTAGGGTTTTTAGGGTTTTTAGGTTTGATAGGGTTTATCGGGTTTTTAGGGGTTCTAGGGTTTGTAGGGTTTTTAGGGTTTGTAGGGTTTTTAGGGTTTTTAGGTTTTATAGGGGTTATCGGGTTTTTAGGGGTTCTAGGGTTTATAGGGTTTATAGGGTTGATAGGGTTTATAGGGCTTATAGGGTTTATAAGGTTTGTAGGGTGTTTAGGGTTTACACGGTTTAAAGGGTTTATAGGGCTTATAGGGTTTATAGGGTTTATAGGTTTCAGAGGGTTCATGGGGTTTATAGGGTCTATAGAGTTTGTAGGGTTCAGGGTTTAGAGGTTTAGGGTGTAGGGTTTCAGGGCAATGTCTTTGGGGGGCTTTAGGGCTTCTAGGGTTTCAGGCGGGGTTTAGGGTGTACGTAGAGGTTTCGAGGTTTATAGGGTTTAGGGTTTAGGGTTTCTGAGGATGGCATTGTTTTGGGGGGCTTTAGATCTATCGGGTTTCAGGGCTTTGGGGCTTGATTCGGGTTCAGAGGTTTAGGGTATAGGGTTTCAGGGGTCTAGGGTTTCAGGGTTTAGAGGTTTAGGGTTTAGTGTTCAGGATTTCTGGGGGGTTTCAGAGGCTTTAGGGTTTAGCGGTTTAGGGTTTAGAGGTTGAGCGGTTTAGGGTTTCAGGGGTTTAGGGTTGAGGGTTTCAGGGTCGGGGACAAAAAAACCTAAACCCCAAACCCTACACCCTACACCCTATAGATCCTGGGCCCGCCTCTGGGGGATCCTTGTGAGTGCAGTTCTGAGAAAAAAATTCGGTTTGGGCCCTAAGAGTCGATTCCTCTGATGTTGGCGCCCTGGGGCCTTTCCGAGCTTGCAAGGGACCAACTGTGCCTGAAACCCTAAACCCTAAACCCTAAACCCTAAACCCTAAACCCTAAACCCTAAACCCTAAACCCTAAACCCTAAACCCTAAACCCCCCAAGCCCCGGCTCTAATCCCTAAACCCTAAACCCTAAACCCTAAACCCTCCCTAAACCCTGAAGCGTTAGAAGCCTCCCTGCCTCTTCGTGGAGGTTCAAGCCGTGCACCTCATGCTGTCCACCCCGTAGTCCTCACAACTCAGGGCTTCCCGGTTTAGGGTTTAGGGTTGAGGGTTGAGGGTTTAGGGTTTAGGGTGTAGGGTTTCTCGTTTAGGGCCCTAAAGCACCGCCACCCTTGCCTGAAGTTAAAGAACCAAAGTTCGACCCTCAATCAAGCCATACTCCACTCCCCCACGGACCTAAAGCCCCAAGCCCACTGTCAGTGGGGTTTAGGGTTTCTGGGGCCCGAAACCCTTAGCCTTGTACCCTATACATACCATGCCCAAGCGCGCCCTGGTCACGCCAGCCGGTCGTCTGCACGCCGCTCGGATGCAGTTTCGATGGCGCCCTATGGGATTTTAAGGCAGAAGCCCTAAACCCTGCAACCCTGCAACCCTCAACCCTACAACCCTACAACCCTACATACAACCCTACAACCCTACAACCCTACAACCCTACAACCCTACAACCCTACAACCCTACAACCCTAAAACCCTACAACCCTACAACCCTACAACCCTATAACTCTACAACTCTACAACCCCAAACCCTATAGATTTTGGGTGGCTTTGTGTCTGTTCTTGGGGACCCTACCGAACTTCCCCCCCCCCCCCCTGCGGCCCCCCGAAGATAATACCCCCGAAGCCCGAAGCCCGAAGCTCGAAACCCGAAACCCGAAACCCGAAACCCGGAAAAACAAAGACAATGAACCAGAAGCTTGTTGGGTCCATGCTAAACGCCTGAGGGTTTAGGGTTTACGATTCAGGGTTTCGGGTGCTGGGATCCGACCTCAATACCTCCATTTGTGGCCAAGTAGCCTCGAACGCAGGGTTTCCTAAGCCCTACAAGCCTTAAAATCCTCAAGCCCTACAACCCCTAAAAAACCGGAACGCCCCCAAAACCCCAAAACCCTACAACCCTAAAACCCTAAACCCTAGCCCTAAACCCTAAACCCTAAACCCTTAAACCCTACGAAATCCAGGTCTGGTCTACTTCAGGAGTTGAAGTTGCCGCCTTCTGGCTGGACTCCGGGCTCAACACTTGAGAAAGAGTTTAGGGTTTAGGGCTTAGGGCTTAGTGCTTAGGGCTCAGGGCTTATAGGGCTTAGGGCTTCGGATTTTTTATTTTCGGGTTTCAGGGTTTTTGGGCTTTGCGTTTTCTTTTTTGCGGGGGGAGGGGCGGGGGGGTTCGGGTTTTAGGGTTTTGGGGTTCTAGGGTTTAGGGCTTGAGCTCGAGGGTTGTTGGCTTCAGGGATTTAGGGGTTGGGGGTTTCGGGTTCTCGGGTTTAGGGCGAGGGTAGCTTTTGTGGAGGTCCTTGTACAGCGATTCTGGTGTGTAGTTGGGGTATATGAGGGAGAAGCTTTCGTGGGACATACCCACTTTGAACAAGGTAGTCGCTCGGACCCTAAACTCATTAAGATTTAGTCTTGGTCGTTTGGATCAGAGCTGCTGGGGTTCATAGTAGACATCATCATAATCATAACAAGAACATCATTATTTTTAATAACAATCGCAATAAGAATCATAGCAATAAATTCAGTAAACAAATAAGTACATATAAAAGTAAATAAATAAAAATCTACACAAATATATGGTACCACCCCATATGCCCACACTTTTTCCTCTCACCACAAATAAGTACATATAAAAACAAATACACTTAATTTTAAATCTAAATAAATATATGGTACCCCCGCCCATATGCCCACACTTTTTCCTCTCAGGTGCCATGGTAGGGTTTAGAGGTTTAGGATTTCGAAGCCTCCTAGGGCAGCGAGCACGAAAGCGCTCCGCTGGACCAATGTTTTAGGCCCAAAAGAGCAAAAACGCTGTACTGTCCAAAAAAAAAACTTTTTAAGCCAAAACAAGCAAAACTGCTGTACTGTGGCGCCTGGAGGTCTACAAACTTTGTTTTTTTTTTTGTTTTTTTTTGGGACAGTACAGCATTCTTGCATTGTGTGCTTGACAAACATTGTTTTTTTGGACAGTACAGCACTTTGGAGGCCTGGGACTGCAAAAACGCTGTACTGTCCCAAAAAAAAACCAATCTCTTTAAGCCAAAACAAGCAAAAATGCTGTACTGTCCCAAAAAACCAAAAAAACAAAGTTTAGAGACCTTGGACGCCAAGTGGCCTGGAGGTCTACAAACTTTGGTTTTTTGCTGTTTTTTGGACAGTACAGCATTTTTGCATTGTTTGCTTGAAAAACATTGAGTTTTTTTGGGACAGCACTTTGGAGGCCTGGGACTGCAAAAACTGTACTGTCCCCAAAAAACCAATCTTTTCAGCCGATTCGCATTATTTTATACAGGAGTCCTATTGGTTCCTATTCATTCTAGTAAGATTCCTTTTCGTTTCAACAGGATTCCTATGAATTCTAACCCGTTCTTTTTAATTTGGTAAGGGTTCCTGTTGATTTTAATAGGCTTCCTATTGACTGTTTATCGGTTCCGAAAATATTCAATGAATTCAATAGAGGATTCCTATTTGTTTTTACAGGGTTCCAATAAAGTTTCACAGGGTTCCTAAATACTCTAATAAGGCTCCTACTAATGTAATAAGATTCCTATCAATTTTAGGGTTCTTATTCATGTTACTGGGATTCGTATTAATTTTAATAGGGATCTCATTCGTTTGAAAGGGGTTCCTATTGGTTTAGGATCATATTTATTTAGTAGGATTCCTATTCACTCTTGTTAAAGAAATCTTATTTTTCATAGGAGTCCCATTGGTTCCTATTAATTTTAAGTGGGGCCCTCTTCATTTTATTAGGATTCCTATCAAATATAATTGGGTTCTCATTAACTTTAATCGGGTTCCTATTCATGTTAATCGGCTTCCTATTAACTTTTTATACAGTCCGATCAATTTCAATAGGGTTCCTATGGATTTAAATAGAGGATTCCTATTTTTCTGTTCATAAGATTCCAATAAATTTCATAGTTTGCCTAATTATTTTTATAAGGATGATTCCTATCAATTTTAAATAGGATTCTGTCATTTGAATAGGGTTCCCAGAGAATTTAATAGAATTAAGGGTTCTCATTCATGTTAAAGGGTTTCCTCTTCACTTTAATCAGATTCCTATTAAAACAAAATGAATCCTATGAACCCCAGAAATTTGATAGGAACGCTATTCACACGCATAGGATTTCTATTTAAATCCATAGCATGCAATCCACAATCTCGAGCAAATTGTTCAGGTCACTTCTGCTGGATTTTTTATGGGAGTCCCTCCACCCTTTAAAAACCACCGCGCATGGCGGAACGTAGTCTTGTTATCTGGAAACCATGCTGAAGCGTGGGCGCTTGGGGGGGGGGGTAGCATGTGTATATATATTTATTTATTTATTTATTTATTTAGGATGTTTCAGGAGCTGCAATATAGTTTCGCACCCAAGAGAGCACACGAACACTTCCCAACTCTGCGTCAGCGACCGAGCTCAGGAGGAGTTGGATGACGTGCAGATGTTGAAGCAGCGCTTGCAGAAGTTCTGCGGGGTTTCCCGGTTCAGGCAAAGGATCCTGAACCAGCAGTCAATCTTAGCAGATGACGCCAAGCTGGCAGATGACGCACAGCTGCTTTGTCATAGTGGGGTAACATGTTGCATTGTTTAAGGGTACTTAATCTCAACAAGGACTAGAAATTTAAGCTTTTCATACTATCCCAACCATGAACTATTAAACCCTAAACCCTAAACCCCAAACCCCAAACCCCAAACCCCAAACCCCAAACCCTAAAACCTGAACCCTAAACCCGACACAAGGCTGGACCTGCCCCTCCATCTACAGTTGGTCCTCCTTCCCTTTTGCGACACCTCCACGGAGCAGAGGGATGAGCTCTTCCTCGCAGTCCCTCGGACACAGAGTCGGCCCGAATTTCCCCTTGTTTTAGGGTTTAGGGTTTAGGGTTTAAGGTCTAGGGCCAGGACCCAGTGTTGGCCCTAATTTTCCCTTTTTTGTTGGGTTTAGGTTCCCTTTTTAGCCCCTGTTTAACCAAACAGGGCACCCTGTTTTATTCCTAGGTTACTCCTAGCCCTAGACCCTAAACCCTAAACCCTAAAACCTAAACCCTAAACCCTAAACCCTAAACCCTAAACCCTAAGTCCCAACTGGGTCGAGGTCCAGGGCGAGTCCACTGGCATGGTGGAAGTGCTCCTTCAGCGGCCCCAGGATCCGAATTTACTGGACGCTTTTGGCCGAAGTGCCTTGGTGGCTACAGCCTGTAACCCTAAACCCTAAATCCTAAACCCTAAACCCTAAACCCCTCGGCAGTCACTTTGAAGCTTCTTTGGGGGTAGTCTCATCTCACAGACTCCCGAAGGTCGGCGCCTGAGCTCATTTAGGGTGCCAGGCTGCTCAGGAACTTAAATTTAAACAGGGTTTAGGGTTTAGGGTTTAGGGTTTAGGGTTGAGGGTTTAGGGTTTAGGGTTTTAGGGTTTAGGGTGGTAGCCCAGTGGTACCCTTTTGCAATTTTTTGATTCTAGGTTCCCTAGTGAAGTAACCTACAACAGACAGGGGACCCCTTATGATAATATGGATACTGGGCTACCAAGCAAATCAGCTTTCCAAGAAATGGAGCCGTGCAAGAGGTTCTCTTGCTCCAGTTCTGGTAGCCTAGTGCAAGTTCCTGGGCCCTTAATGAATTTAAGTAGGGTTTAGGGTTTAGGGTTTAGGGTTGAGGGTTGAGGGTTTAGGGTTTAGGGTTTAGGGCTTCTTAGCAGCAACCCAGAACCAAGGTGCCCTCTTCGAAGCAGCTCGAACTGAGAATGTGCACATTGCTGGCTTGCTGCTCGAGGCAGGCTGTGACCCGAACGGTCCGTGTGACCCTCGGTCGGCCTTAACAAAACTCGTGTTTTCCTCACTGGATGGTATGTACATACGGTTCTTGTTTGTGGCAAGTACCTTCAACAAATGTGGAATGTCTTCCCTTTAAACAAAATCTTCATGTACCGAGTAGCTTTAGAGTGCATTCCATCCTCTCAAAGCCCTAGACCCTAAGCTGCAAGCCCCTAAACCCTAAACCCTGAACCCTGAACCCTAAACCCTAAACCCTGAACCCTAAACCCTAAACCCTAAACCCTAAATCCTAAATCCTAAATCCTAAACCCTAAACCCTAAACCCTAAACCCTAAACCCTAAACCCTAAACCCTAAACCCTAAACCCTAAACCCTAAACCCTAAACCCTAAACCCTAAACCCTAAACCCTAAAACATAAACCCTAAACCCTAAACCCTAAACCCTAAACCCTAAACCCTAAACCCTAAACCCTAAACCCTAAACCCTAAACCCTAAACCCTAAACCCAAGCCGAGGTCTCCGAAATCGCGCGCGGGGGCCAGGTCCCGAACGACCAAACGCCGCTAGTGCACCCAGATCTCCCAGTGGTGAAGGGGGAGCATGAGGAACCCTAAGTCCTACACCACCCTAAATCCTACACCCAAAACCCTAGATGCTAAACTCATGGGTTCCCCTACTACCCCCCTAGGTTCCCCCCTTAAGTAACCTTAATAAGGCTTTAATTATACCTAAATAGCCTTAATGGTACTAAAGAGGGGGGTAGTAGGGGAACCCCTGATAAACCCTTGAGGGTCTGAGGACATATACAAAGTAATAGGAAACCGGAAACCCTGTTTGTATCCCAGGGCTGCATGGGATCCCAGGTACTCAGCCGCCCACGGGAGTGCAGACATGGTGCGGCTCCTGCTCACGGCCACTTCTTGCCAACGAGGGGTAAGACTAACCAGAAACAAGCCGAACCCCCCTCCTTCCTTATCTCACGAAACCCTAAACCCTAAACCCTAAACCCTAAACCCTAAACCCTAAACCCTAAGCCCTAAGCCCTAAGCCCTAAGCCCTAAGCCCTAAGCCCTAAACCCTAAACCCTAAACCCTAAGCAGCGGAGAAGGCGAACGCCGACCCGGACTGTGCCAGCACGAAGACTGGCTCGAGGTCCATTCACCAAGTGCTCTATTCCCAGGATGAGACGAATGGCTGGCCCCTGTGGACCCCCTGAGACTATTGGTATAGGGTTTAGGGTTTAGGGTTTAGGGTGTAGGGTTTAGCATTCCGGGTTTGTGTTCTTGCTTGGCTTCTTCAAACGGAGACTAGGATAAGACGATAGTGACAGAAGGCTCTGAAGACCAGCCCTAAGCCCTAATCTTCCCTGAGCCCTAAAATCCTAAACCCGAAACCCTACCCTAAATCCTAAACCCCAAGCCCTAAACCCTAAACTAAAGGCCCTAAACCCTAAGCCCTAAGAACTAAGCCCTAAACCCTAAACCCTAAACCCTAGGAAGGATTGGGAGCTCGTGGAGAGCAAGCTTGGCCTGCTCCTGGACTTCAGGGCGAACGTGGACGCTCCGGACCGGCACGGCCGAACTCCACTCCATCTGGCCTGCTGTATAGAGGCTCCATGCAGGACAGGGTTTAGGGTTTAGGGTTTCGGGTTTAGGGTTTAGGGTTTGGGGTCTGGGGTTTAGGGTTTGCGGTTTGGGGTTTGGGGTTTGGGGTTTGGGGTTTAGGGTTTAGGGTTTGGGGCTTGGGGTTTGGGGTTTGGGGTTTAGGCCTGATTTAGGGGTTAGGGTTTTTAGGGAAACTTGAAACCTTAATTGCAACTCTACAACCCGCTTAGGACTCAGTTGCACACTGGGGCAGTATATTTCAGGGCGATTAAAGGGTGTGATGAATTGGGGTACGGAGCTGTTGGCTTGAGGGTGTTTAAGGGGTTGGGATGTCATGCAGACCTAAACCCCAAACCCGAAGCCCTAAACCATAAACCCTAAACCCTAAATCCTAAACCATAAACCCTAAACCCAAAACCCTAAACCCTAAGGAGCCACCTTGTGGAGTTGCTGCTGGCTGCCAAAGCGAACACCAACTTAGCGGATGACGATCAGAGCACACCGCTGCATTGCGCTTGCGAGCGGGGCTGCGTGGACACTGTCCGCTGCCCCTTGGAAGTGTGGGGTTTAGTCTGGGGGGCTTAGGGTTTAGGATTTAGTTTTAGGGTTTAGGGTTTCGGGCTTAGGGAATTAAACCCCAAACCCCAAACCCCAAACCAAAGCCCGAAAACACTTGATCCCCGACGACATGCACGTTAACAATCCACAGCCCAGAACCGCAAACATCATCAAGCCCCGTATATAGACCCAATTCCCAAACGTAAGCCCTAAACCCTAACCCCCAAGCCCCAAACCCTAAACCCTAAACACAAAACCCTCGACTAATTGTGAAGCTCCCCGCTGCCGAGGTTTGTTGCAAAACGGGGCCCGCTGCACGCTCAAAGATTGCTTCGGCAGGACGGCGCTGCATGCGGTGTTTGCGAGCCTCGAAGCAGTATCCGGGCAGTACAAGGTTTAGGGTTTAGGGTTTTTGGGTTTTTGGGTTTTTGGGTGTTTGGGTTTTTGGGTTTTTGGGTTTTTGGGTTTTTGGGTTTTTGGGTTTTTGGGTTTTTGGGTTTTTGGTTTTGGGTTTTTGGGTTTTTGGGTTTTTGGGTTTTTGGGTTTTTGGGTTTTTGGGTTTTTGGGTTTTTGGGTTTTTGGGTTTTTGGGTTTTTGGGTTTTTGGGTTTTTGGGTTTTTGGGTTTTTGGGGTTTAGGGGTTTTGGGGTTTTGGGGTTTTGGGGTTTTGGGGTTTTGGGGTTTTGGGGTTTTAGGGTTTTAGGGTTTTAGGGTTTAGGGATTTAGGGTGTTTTAAAGGGCTCTGAAAGTTTAGGGTTTGGAGGATCTAGGGTTGCACAATGGGACTTGGAGCGCCCAAAACCAAAGCCGCTTTGTGTGTGGATACAATTCACGGTTTGAGGCTCGTCCCTGAAGCTGCTAAGCCCCTGGGAAGCCTCAACCCAAGAAACGAGCCTTTCACGAAAGCCACACAATTATTATAGTTAATGTTGGCCCTATAAGCAAATATCAGGCGCGAACCCTGAGCCCGCAACCCTAATCGCCGCAACCCTAAACCCTAAACCCCAGAAACCCCAAACCGCATAAACCCTAAACTCTAAACCCCTTCAGCCCCAGAAACCCTAAGCCCTAAACCCTATAATTCAGCCTCATAAAGCCTAAGCCATCAACCCCAGAAACCCTAAGCCCTAATCCCGAAGCTCTTGGTTCAAGGTTCCATTATGAAGAAACCAACCCCAAAAGGGTACCCTTAGTATACGTGGCTACCTGGCTACCCTAAACCCTAAATCCTAACCCCTACAGTAAACCCTAAACCCTAAACCCTAAACCCGAAACCCGAAACCCGAAACCCTAAACCCTAAACCCTAAATCCTAAACCCTAAACCCTAAACCCGAAACCCCTAGCCCTAAACCCTAAACCCTATAATCCCGAAGTTGAAGGTACCTTACAGCCGGGCCGTGGACCTTCTGCGGCTTCTGCTCAAGGCGAAAGCGAACCAGGATGCCAGGGATCCGAAGCCTGGAGTGTAGGGTTTAGGGTTTAGGGTTTAGGGTTTAGGGTTTGTAAGGTGTAGGGTTTAGGGCTTAGGGTGTGCTCGGTCGCGCGCTGGTAAGCGCGCAGTAGTATGAAGGCATACCCACCCCCAGGCCACCCAAACACTACTCACTGCGAGCCAAGCCGGTGCAAGCCCAAACTAAGCCAAAGCCATTCCGAACTCACATGCCGAGTTACGTTCAGGGCACACTTGAATCACAAAGTGGCCGCGTGGAATTCACATGATCGATGTGACGAGTCCGACCATGAAGTCCCTAAAACCCAAACCCGAAACCCCACAGCCATGAAAAGGTTCCAGCCCAAAAGTAAACACCTTAGCAACCGTGCTAGCGCAGGGGCGTAGTAGCCCAGTGGTGCCCTTTCCCTTCTTGTTTGGCTCAAGGTTCCAATATAAAGCAACCAGCCCCACAAAAAACGTAACCTTCTTACAATATGGTTCCTGGGCCACCAAGGAGGTGCGAACAAGGGCTCGTTTCCCAGCTCATGATTGCAAGTTGTTGCACGGTGAACCTGGCATGCGAGTTGTTGCACGGTGAACCTGGCATGCGATGCCAAGGGCATGAACGGTTAGACTTAAGATATGAGAGTTGGGGTGCCGCTGGGAAGCCAGCCCAATATCGCCCCTGAACACTAAACCTAAACCCTAAAGCCCTATAGACCCCTAAACCCCAAACACCAGGAGCCAAAGATTGCATACGCCCTTAAAGGACGCAGTGGACGACCAATGCGGCACGGCGCTGCACTATGCGTTGACATCGAAGGACTGCGGTTGAAATTGTAGGAGTCTAGGGTTAACGGCAAAGCTTAGGGTTCAGGGCCAGTTTTAGGGTTGAGGCTTGTCAGGGTGTATAGGGCTTTAAGAGCTCTCAGGCCATGAGCTTCTCTTGCTACCCTTCACCACGAAGGCCCATACCCAGTTTAGGGTGCCCAAAAAACCCTAAACCCAAACGTTTGGGGCTCAGGGCCTGGCAGGTTCACCCCACTTCGACCTCGCAGGACGGCGCGCCTTTGCTGGTACGATGCCTACTGGATGCGGGTGCTCGCATGGAGGTGGCCGACAAGAACGGGCTTACGGCCCTGCAGTGCGCGCTGCAGCAAACTACCAGCACCCGGTCTCCTGGTCTCTTCTTGGCGAGCCCTAAACCCTAAACCCTACACCCTAAACCGTAAACCCTAAACCCCAAACCCTAATACCCTAAACTTTGGGGGGTGGGGATGGTCGCTGATCGTGGAGCATAAACTAACCTCAGGACCTACGCCTGAACCCCGAAAGGTGTCGGGTGCCTTTGAAAGTTCGCTGGAGGAGGTCACCCTAAACCCTAAACCCTAAACCCTAAACCCTCAACCTTATAAGCCCTGAACCCTAAAACCCTGCTGCAAAGGTCAAGCGGACTGAGGACTCTCTTCCAGTCTCTGCCCAGGCCTTCCACGCGTTGGCCAAGATTGGGGGGACAGTAGTTGATTTTTCTTTTTTTGGGGGGTTTAGGGTTTAGGGTTTAGGGTTTAGGGTTTAGGGTTTAGGGTTTAGGGTTTAGGGTTTAGGGGTGGGACTCGGGTTTAGGGTGTAAGGTTTAGCGTCTAAGGTTTAAGGATGAAAGGGTCCAGGGTTTGGGGTTGGGGATGTGAAGATTCACGACCTGCGTGAAGGACCAAACAGATGAACAATGGGCTCCTAGAAGCATGTACTGGGTCGATCGCCTACAGCCTACCCTAAACCCTAAACCCTAAACCCTAAAGCCTAAACCCTAAACCCTAAACCGTACACCCTAAACCCTAAACCCCAAACCCCAAACCCCAAACCCTAAACCCTAACCCCTAAACCCTGCCCTTCAAGTCCAGACAGTAGGATTGGGTCCCCAAACCCTCTTAGCCCTAGTGTTCGCGTCCTTCACGTTGTGGGGGTTGGGGTCAGACTACACCATTGAGGCGCGCTTCCGCGCGTTCTGGTACGGTCAGTGTCAGTACAAGGGCCAGACCTGGGCATCCGGAATGTTTGGGGTCTAGAAGCTATCAGAGTCTACCCAAGCCCCCCAAAATATGTAAAATAGTAGCACTTTTGAAGGTTTGGGGCTATTTTGTTTACATACTTTGGGGGTCTAGGTAGGGCTTAGGGTAGCTCATGACCCTCACATACGGTCAGATTTCGGCTGTGTGGTCCCTTTTGGCGGGCACTGCTACAATACGATTCAGGCAGACCCAAAACGAGACCGGCATTCACATAGAGGCACTGACCACAAACCCTAAACCCTAAACCAAAAAACCCATAAACCTACGGGGCTTAAGGTCTAAGTGCGTAGGATCTCGTCGTTTCAACCAGGCCCTTGTGCGAACATGTTGAAGTAGTCTGTGTTTAAGCGGGTGTACGTCATTGCGCTCTCAATGGCGGTATCTACAGTGAGGGGCCCCCTTACTATACGAACTCTCCTTCAAGCACTTAGAACCTAACTCATAAGTCTGAAGCCCTATCTTGAGCCTTCATAACCCTAAACCCCAAACCGCAAACTCCACACCCTAAACCCGGAACCCTACAAACTGGGGCCCCTCCCTGTATACATAGGTGGCTAATGGCCGGCTAGCGCAGCGATTTGTAGCGAACGTGCAACGTCTGACAGCGCAATGTGGCTCGCAAAAGGCCCGAGTGTGCTTGAGGTTGGAGTTTAGGGTTTAGAGGGTTTAGGGGTCAGAAATCCTGAAAACCTGTAACTCGTAGCCCTAAACCCTAAACCCTAAACCCTGAACCCTGAACCCCAAACCTTCAACCCGAAACCCTGAATCCTAAACCTCAACCCATGGGGGGCCCCCTGCCCTCCAGCGAGCCCATCTAAAAGAGGCCCTAAACCCACAAGGTTTCTGAGGGGAAAGACTGAGAGGCAGCATCAGTCGGACCGTCAGTTTAGGGTTTAGGGTTTAGGGTTTAGGATTTGGTTTTTTTCGGAACTCACAGAGGTCAGCGTCGTTCGGCAGAGCACCGTGATGACGGGCTTCACAAAGGACGAGGAGGTCGGGGATTGATGCGCCAATCTCTGGGGTCAGGGTTGAGGATTTAGGGTTGAGGGTTTAAGGTTGAGGGCTTAGGGTTTAGGGTTGAAGGTTTAGGGTTGAGGGTTAGGGTTGTGCACCTCTGTTTTCTGTGCATCAGCCTGGCGGGAGAGTAATACCTCTTGCTTGTGCCCCATGCCTTTCGGCATGCTCGCCTTGGATACCATGCCATACCATACCAGGGTTAGGGTTGAGCTTAGGGCTCGGAAGCCCAAATACATATCCGAACCTTCACAAACCCTAATCACCTTAACCGCCCTAAGAACTCTAGTCACCCTGTCTTCCTTCATAGTCCCTTTACCCTTTCAGCACATTAAAAATCAAAAGGACCTCACTCCGCCCCAAACCCTAACAACTCCGATATCAAAAAACCCTAAACCCTAAACCCTAAACCCTAAACAGTTGTAATAGCACAAGCTGCAAAACCCTTGGCCCTCATCCCAATACCCGTTACTCTAAGAACCTGAGTCCTAAAGACTCCCCGTTTATGTTTAAGAATGCAGCTACAAAACCCTAGACCCTAGACCGTAGACGCTAGACCCTAAACCCTAAACCCTACACCCTAACCCTAAACCCTAAACCCTAAACCCTAAACCCTAAACCCTAAACCCTAAACCCTACTCCTTGCCCAATCAGGAGCGGTTCTGGGGGGTCCTGAGCTCCTTGGACGCCGCGCAGCGGAGCGCCTTCGCGGTCTTTGTCTCCGCGTGCGCGAGGCAGGGTTTGGGGTTTAGGGTTTGAGGTTTAGGGTTGAGGGTTGAGGGTTGAGGGTTTAGGGTTTAGGGCTTAGGGTTTAGGGCTTAGGGTTTAGGGTTTAAGGCTTCTTCAAAAGGTTCGCCCGAACGAAAGGGCACGGCCTCATGCAGCCAAGGTCCCTTGATAAAGGCATCGTTGCTGCCAACTCTTTGGGGCGGCTTACGTGTTCAGCAGTGGTTTTGGGGTTTTGGGGTTTTGGGTTTGTTTTTGGTTTTGGGGTTTTGCGGTTTTGGGGGTTTGGGGATTTGGGTGGTTTAGGGTTTGGGGTGGGCGGTTTTCCAGACTTGGGTGGCTTAGGGTTTGTGGGTTTGGGTCTTGGGTGTTAAGGTTCTGGGGGGTTTGTCTTAGGCTTAGGCTTTGAACCTTCAAGCCAGCTTGATCCTCAACGTGGTCTTCACGGCGCAAAACACCCTCATCTTCAACCTACACCTACCAGGTAAACCCCCATTTCACTTTTTTGTAGGTTTCGGGATCCCTTACAAACCCATTGAAGCAAAAAGCGTGCCCCTTTCTTGTTCCTAGGTTACTGGGACTAAACCCTAAATCCTAAACACTAAACCCTGAAACCCTAAAACCCTAACCCTAAAGCCTGAACCCCTAAGTAGTGCAAGCCTTTCGCTCAACACCACGCCCAAAGGCGCCCTGCCGAAGGGTGGCAGCGACTGGAGCTGAAAGTGCAGAGGCCAGGGTGCAGGGTTTAGGGTTTAGGGCTCTAAACCCTGAAGCCTAAACCCTACCTAAACCCCCAAAATATGTAAAAGCTTTGCCCTTTCAAATTTAAGGGTTGGGGACTATTTGTTACATACCATGGGGGTCTAGGTAAAACCTAAACCGTAAACCCTCAACCCTAAACCCCTTGCGTAGCTTTGTGGGTTTGGAGGATTTGGGCTTCGTGGGCTTCGGGCTCAGGAGCTTTGTGGAGCGGAGATTTGGTGTTTGTGAACCTCTTGGAGGGGGGGGGGGGGGGGGGGGGGGGGTGGGGGGGGCGGAGGGTGTGGGGGTGGGTGGGGGGGGGGGGGGGGGGGGGGAAGGGTGATAAAGTTTTCCCTCATCCCTAGACCTTAAACCTAAACCCTGAAAACCTTACATAAGAAAGCCTTTGGGCCCAAAAAACCCAAAATAGGAGTCCGTCCAAAACCCTAAAACCCTTAAAAGCCCAAGACCCCAACCCTTAACCTGAATCATAAACCCTAAAGCCCCTAAACCATAAAACCCTAAGCACTAAACCCTAAAGCCCTAAAGCCCTAAAGCCCTAAAGCCCTAAAGCCCTAAAGCCCTAAAGCCCTAAAGCCCTAAAGCCCCTAAACCCTAAAACCCTAAGCCCTAAACCTAAAGCCCTAAAACCTTAAACCCCAACCCATGGCACCTGGCAGTAGGAATGGCGATGGCGACGAGCGTCTTCCGACAGTGGCCACCCCGGCTCTGGCATCAAATGGTTTTTCACTGTGGGATGTAGCAGTATACTGGCAGGGCCCTGAACCTTTGGGTTTTCGGGTTTCGGGTTTAGGGTTTAGGGTTTAGGGTTTAGGGTTTAGGGCGTTGAGCCCTCAACCCTTCAACCCTAAAAATCCTACACTTAGGCCGCTTTAGGGTGCTTCGCAGTTTGGCTTCTCGCCGTGTGCGGCTCTGTCGATCGTCGGAAGTCATCCGGTGTCGCTGTTGTTGTTGTTGTTGTTGTTGTTGTTGTTGTTGTTGTTGTTGTTGTTGTTGTTGTTGTTGTTGTTGTTGTTGTTGTTGTTGTTGTTGTTGTTGTTGTTGTTGTTGTTGTTGTTGTTGTTGTTGTTGTTGTTGTTGGTGTTGTTGTTGTTGTTGTTGTTGTTGTTGTTGTTGTTGTTGTTGTTGTTGTTGTTGTTGTTGTTGTTGTTGTTGTTGTTGTTGTTGTTGTTGTTGTTGTTGTTGTTGTTGTTGTTGTTGTTGTTGTTGTTGTTGTTGTTGTTGTTGTTGTTGTTGTTGTTGTTGTTGTTGTTGTTGTTGTTGTTGTTGTTGTTGTTGTTGTTGTTGTTGTTGTTGTTGTTGTTGTTGTTGTTGTTGTTGTTGTTGTTGTTGTTGTTGTTGTTGAAGCACTACCAGCTCAAGCCGCCCGCGCATGGTAGCTGTCGAACCGGCCAAAGCCCCGAACTTCATCTCTTTAACAGTTTTTCGGGGCCCTCTAACATCTCAAGGCTTTCTAGCTCTTGCCAGCTGATGGTCACTTTGAGGCTTTAGCCTCAAGCATTCTGAGATTCTGCCGCAGACAGCATATCCACGAGCTGGCCCGGTCCCAATTCCGGGGGGAGAACTTAGATCGTCTTAGACTGCATCTTTCACTCCTAAGTGTGAGGGTTCTCGTCTTTCCGCAGGACGAGGGGAGTCTGATCGTGCTTCGGCACTTCAGGCAAAACAAGCGGATGGCAGAGGGTAGAATTCGTAAACATTCCTATCGTCGGGCCTGTCACCGAGCCTTAAGGGACGGTTGCGCAGTACCGTATCGCGAGATCAATTTGCCTCTAAGCCAGGCACAGGCAAGCGCAGGCATAGCTGCACCCAGTGTAATCCATGAGACACAAGAAAAAATGCATGCTCCATTTGCACCGCAGCTCCCTTTTAGGCAGCCGCGAAGGCGTCACCCTAGAGGCGGTCGCGAAGCCAAACCACTGCGGGTTTTCTCGTGGAATGCAGGTGGA